TGGGTGCTATCTTTATGTCAGAGAACAAGACAAGTGCAAGTCGAACAAGGCACATGGATACGAGGTGGCACTACGTGAACCAAATGCAGCAGGACGGCCTAGTGAAGATTGATTTTGTTCGCTCGGAGGACAACGTGAGCGACATTGGGACCAAGAATGTCAACGTCGAGACCCTCGACAGACATGCACCAAAACTGACAGGAGACAAGGAGCAATTGGTTTGAGTTGGTGAGAAGGTCGCTGCCATCATCGCGAAAACAGGAAGGGTGTTAGAAAGGTATTTTCGTATGACGGACAGACGACTCGGGATCCGCAGTCACGGTTCGTGATTGGGGATATGTGACTCAAATCAGATGGTTATCCGATCATCATCAGATGGCCAGGTGTACGAGGAACGAGGACAATGGTCGTCTAGATGATGCAACTACAAAGGTTAGGAAGTTAGGTCGAAGAGATGAATGCAAGGAGCGATGGGACGGAGCAAATGAATGGACGGATGAAGGTCCATATGTTTAGTAAAGTGGGAAAGCCCTCCAGGGCCAACCATGCACTTCAGGAAGATAGATCGACGAGATCTATCTGCAAATGAAACTGCGAGAAACAGAGGATCGAAAGATCCTGGTATATGTATGCATATCGGAGCTCAGTTGTAGAGCTCACAATCTGAACGAGAGAGAAAGAGAAAACGAAACGAATAGCCAGTCTACTAGACAGTAGAGCTGGAAGGATATTGATTAAATTAGAGAAATTGTGCGTTCAAGTTCACACCTTTTCAACAGAGGAAGCAGCCACCACCCAAACACAAACGACAAGCCCACAACCACAACCCAGCCCGAAACAACGAAGCTTAGCTAAAGGTGTCCATAGAGGACGATATCCATTAGTTGCCACAGCATAGCAGCCATCTACAGACGACTAGCTAGCTAGAGCCGATCAAGAAGTCTCTGTTGTTTTGCAGGATGCTTTGACCCTAAACATTTTATTGAACACGCCCAGCCTACTAGGTTCTTCAACGGTAGCCTAACTTCAGGCCGCCACGGCATCCACCTGTAGGCAGAGGGAGAATGCCGATTGATGTTCGATTGCTGCGAAATCCAGACGATGTGGCTCGGGTGGTTCATTGGCACAGCTTGCGGAGGATTGGTAACGAAAAGGTAGTGGAATCTGTGCGGCAATTGGACGAGAAATTCCGCGAAGCCCAACGAGAAGTGAATACCTACAAGTCGTCTTGTCGGCAGCAACGAAAGCGTCCCGACCCAGACCACTTACAGTCTCTCCAGGCGAACTGCGATGGGTATAAGACCAACTTGGAAACGAAACTGTGTAGACTGGCGAATACAGTAGACGAGACACTGCTGCAAGAATTGGATCCATACCATCACAATCCTTCTAGTAGCTCTGATGGCGCTAGTTTTGGTAGCAGTGCTTTGCTGCGCAGTCCCTTTCGTCATTTAATCGAAGCGGGTGCATATGAATGTCTTGGAAACAACCTGCCATCCGGAATCTTTTGTCCAACCGGCCTTGCCGTTGATTGGGCTCAAGCAATCGCGCAATCTCTTTTGGAATCTTTGACAGTTTCCACCAGGCTCTGCCTTCCAAACACACTGCCTCTTTCGGCACAGCAAGTGCAGGGCATGATGGGAAGTACAGAACGAACCACAACGGCTAGCCACGAGAGTAACAGCACATGTTGTAACTCTTCGGTTGTTCTCCAAGCACCCTCGTGGTTAGGATATCTTCAGCAACACCACGGTGATCAGACATTGGGCGATAAACAATTGCCTTTTGTCGTGCACTACACTACACAAACCACCACGAATGTGATTCACATTACAGGCCTTCCACGGGAATCGCAACCGTTTACGGATAAGCGTGAACTGTGGAGACAGGATTCCTGGTCTTCTTCATCGTGCCCAATACTGCCGCCACAACTGGCTTCTCTTCCAACCTCGCAACATGAAGTAATCATCCTGACGTCCTCCACATACTATGATTCTCGAGCAGTGCAAAAGGAATGGACATCCAAACTAGTTACATTCTACCAATCCTTGGTGACAGCAACATCCACCACTCAAACGATTGTTCGTCAACGTGTCGTCAAACCAGCGGAGTTACTTCCAGCCGAAGCGAGTCGCATTGTGATTGAAGGGCAGTTACCCAGTGACGGCAGCAACAAGACTAGCCAACATGTCATCTTGGCCTATCTTTCCAACTTTTCCGATTATCCAACACGTGCTTGTCGTGTCAAGAACACGCCACAGCAGTTTTGTCACGTTCTGCAGGGTGTGGTCTGCAGTGTTGTCGAAACCATGTGTTGGCAGGCGTCGCACGGAAGGCAAGATGAGCGGATTCAGTTGCCAAGTAGTTTGAGTCGTTACTTGCAACTCCGGAATGATCAACAAGAAGGTGTGATTGTACTCCCCACGATAAAACGTTTGGGCAAGACCAAGCATGGACGTCTTCAGCTCAAGGTTTGTTCAAAGGTGCCTTTGGCTCCGCCTAAAATGAACGAAGACCAACAGCAAAAGACACATCAACCTTGCTCCAAAGGGAATCCTACTTCCGACAGCATGGATACCAACAACAATCACGGCAAGAGACGCCAGCCACCTCGCATCAACACGGACTTGCTCCTAGAGCCGAGCACAGCCACCCAGGAACGGATCCGAGCCGAGGCACTATCGTCGCCGTTTGGGTTTCTTCCATTCTACCACTAACCACAGACGCATTGTTTGATTGCCGACTGTGCACACATCAGTCTCTCTCGACGTCACGCACGCAAAGAAAGCTTTGGTCAAGACAACGACGATGGGTCAACATTTATCTTGCAATGAACGAAGCGTTTTGGATGGCGATTATGCCGATGGATTAAGTCTTCACACGGAGCCAAGCTCCAGAGGTAGACTTTCTCGCGGTCGTAAGAAAACTACTATTCTTTTCAAATCGACCTGTCGAGACTATAGTTTACAGGAATCGCTTCAAGATGGCTTCACCAGGGTTCGTGCTGATGGACGTAAAGGTGGAGTGATCTTTCAAGGCAAGTTGCACACCAGTTCAAGTTGAAACACAGAAACGGTCGCGTCAACTCGAACGCCGAAAGGGATTCTGGCTTCAAACCCACCGACTCTGGCAGGGACACGCCGCAGGTCGTGCCGGGCAGAAGGGTGCGCTGGAGGAGACTCCTCTCGCGGCAACCTTCAGCGGTACACTATGGGCTACTAACAATCTCCCATCTGCTCGTCAAAACTAGATGGTTGAAGGCGTGCACAACCGGCAACATGGCCATTTTCGTTGCTCTCCACCCCACCGACACCTGCTGCAAATTGACCATTCCAGTACGGCAACATTGCAGGAAAGATTGATGAAATTTCATTGCTGCAAACGAGGACCAAGTGATGGTTGCTCGCTCCCTCGAATCGGTCGGACTGCCTACTTGTACATAACGAAGACTGCTACTACATGTAGCACAGTCTACTCGTACTAGCTAGAGGGAGGATAGCATCAGAAGTGCTTTTGAGTGACAAAGGTGAACCTTGGAGGTGGTAGCAAGGACCCGAAACAAACGGATCCCGAGGCTGGAAGAAGACGTAGTCTACTCGTACCCACTTCCACAAAGCACGAAGATGCTTCAGCTCAATGTAAAACAGGACCTACCCACGCGATGGTCAGAAAGGTTTTTCTGCGGGCTTCTTTTTCATCCAGATTTGAGCCCACTGTAGCAAGCCAACCAAGAACCAAGCATAGGTGTGCAAGCCAACCAAGAACCAAGCAGAGACGTGCGATAGCACGCCCACAATAATAACTTAAAAAACTTACTCCAGTGCATGTTGTTACGTTGACTATTATAATTTCTAATAACCTCCTGCTGTTCCGTACCAGTAGGCGCCAGGCCTGAATGGCATAAGGCTCTTTAATCTTTAACCCACCACTTCACCGTAACAGGCGTAAACGGCACATGTACAATGTACATGTAGCTTTCGTGCAGCTTTTCGTGCTGTACCTTTACTAAAAGCATACTTCATATTTACTTGTCAGCTTATCTACCGGTATTCGAGTACATGTTTGTACGTTTGTACCCTCTCATCAGCTCTGAGAGCTGCCAAGTGCCAAGTGCCAAGAACAGCTCCAAGATCCCAAAGCAAAAAGCAAAGAGAGCCTAGAGAGGAAACGGTGCAATCTTGGGGCATGAACGAAATAAGGGGCTTCAGAAATACTTGCATTTAAGAGCATTAGCATTTATGTCTTGAAAGTGGGGAGTACAAAAAGAGCATGTTCTGGTGAAGATCACCTCCAATCTGTAAAGCAGGGGAAGGTGTTTCTATTGCATTGTCTCATTAAGGACATTTTGGCCTTGCTGAAGCAGACTGACCTCTAATGCAATAAGGTTCAAAAATGTTCAAAGTTTTACTAGATGGGTCTTGGGAAATGGCAGAGAAATAATAGAGTCCGAGGCTATAGTGCTGCAGCGAACGTAAAAGTTGTGGTCAGTAGTCAGTACCACAGTTTAAGTTTGCTGTTCAATTAAGCGTCAATCCCCAGCATGCTCCAATTACTCTCAGATAATACATCAGCTCGTCTACTTTCCGGTATTAGCTGACGCACCCAAGTTTTTCATGGAGTCACAGAATCAAATAGAACGCGCACAGTAGGGCATAGGACTTAGAGTCGGCCCCAAGCATCCTCGTGCAAGCTCGTCTGTGCATGCTCTTTGAATCTTTGAATGGCAGATGGAATGTGATCTACAAGCTGATACAGATCTACAAGGTTGCGGGTAATGAGCTTTTTGAGCAGTTCCTTTTAGTCAACTGAAAGTTTTCGGTAATATTACACTTTGAGTCTTGCTCTTGAATTCCAGATAGCTTCCAGATTCCAGATTACGTGTACTTCACCTGTTACATGTGTGCCTAGAGAGTTTGTTTGTACACAAGTTTGTGTCATTTTCTTCCACATTCAGCCATGCATTCTTCCGTTTCTAGTCTTTTAGAATGAAATTAAAACTGGACAAACCGGTAAAACAGGTATTCCCGCATCTCCATCTGAAAGTGCTTATTTCCCTCTGCACCCACCTTTGTTCCCTCATCCGGTATCGGACCTGGATACGCCTGGCAGGCGACAGCAGTGGCTATTAGCTACAGTACTAGCTAGCTAGTATGCCTCCGACTCCTGCTGGTTGCGGCTACCAGGAGCTGCAGTACCAAGCGGTCACACTCTATTATCTATCTGTTCTACTTGGTGTCTGCTCGGAGTACCGGTATCAATTATGGCTTCACCTTTTAGGCTCTTCCGAAGTTCCGAAGTTCACACACCGACAACTTTCAAGGAGCTTGCTTAGTCGCGGCACTCCCGTTGGGTCAAAATTGACGGCGCAGTACCGGCAAGCAGTTCACGGGAAAGATGAGTACACTGACTTAACACAGGGGAGCTGCGGGGCTGCACTGTGTCTCATCCTTACTCCAATCTTGGAGTCTTGAAAACTGGTATTGCTAGGCTCCCATGGCACCTGCTGCCGCAGCCAGATAGCTACATGTACTACTACCCTGAGCTAAATTAATTGTCGACCGTTCCTCATGCAGGCACCCGACAAACTTTTGACTCTTTCATCCAAAGGACTTTTCCTCCCAACAAAACACGAGACCACTCTCACAATTTTCAGAGCCAGCAAGAGCAAAAAGCAAAACGACAGTTCCAGCCAACCAACACCATCATGAGTACCGAGGACAGCAAGAAACCGAAGGAAACCACCAACAAGGAGGAAGAGCCCACTCTTTACAGAGGCAAGTGGACCACTGAAGAAGATGCATACGCACACTGCCTCATTGCCGAGTTCAGGGCCGGGACGTTGGATATCCCCAGCGGAACCACCTTGCGAGGATTCCTTGCTAAGAAGCTTGAATGTGCCCCCAAGAGGTAAGTCATCACTGCCACATCGGGAGGGTTGGATTAGAGTGTCAAATGCAAAAGCCACGATACTGTTTGTCTTGCCACTTCAGCTGACACGTAGCTCGTTTTTCACGTTTTTCGCAGAGTGTCCAAGAAGTTCGAGAACAGTGGATACAACGGGAAGCAGCTTTATTGTCCCTCTGCCATTTACATCTCCAATTTCGAGTCCGAGTTCCGTAGGCGTAACCTTGAGTTTCTGCGCCAAAGGTTCATGCTCAGCCGAGGCCGCCCTGTCCCCAAAGAATCGTTCAAGAAGACCCCTCAAGACTTGATGTTCGAGAGCTTTCTGGCTGGAAAGACGTTCGAGAACAGGAATGACACCGCTGCTGGGCTCAAACGCCCCGCGACACTTCTGGCTGAAGACGCAACTTCGCGGTTGCTGGAACTGAGCAGAGGTATGGGCAACAGCTCGAATGTTCCTCCAGCTGGCATGCTTGGAAGCACTCCTCGTTTCGAAACGCTTGCTCGTGACCTTCATGTGGGATCTCCGATTCTTCCGATGGCTTCCCCCCTCCTCTCCCGCCCAATGGTCGGTGCCGATGCCTTTGTCGGTGCCAATAGACACGGTTTGTCCTCCACTGCCATGTGCGCCAAGAATGCAGCCCTCTCCATGAGGCAGCAGGCCTTGCGCGATTTGCCTCTGTTGCAGTCTCCTTCTGCTCATGCATGGAGCCGTCCGCTCCTGGAACCATCTGCATTGGTCAACAGGCCAGCTCGTCAAACCGAAGGTTCGCGCTTGCGAGAAGACTTCTTGTTGCTTCAGCTATCAAAGCAACACCCTTTTGCAACCCCCTCTGCAACTTCGGCTCACCTCAGGTTCTTGCAGGCCGAAGAGCGGAAACGTCTTGGTGTCATCAAAGCTGACCCTAGTGGTGACATCGGCGATATGGTTCGACCCGTCAAGCGAGTCAAGATGTATTGAGGCTGAGGCTGCTTTCCTTGACACCAACCATACATAGGTTGCCACGGCTGGAAAGGCTTCGTGTACGGTCCGAAGATACCTGAAAGGGCTGTGCGCGGCCAGGAGATCAATGCTGGGTAGAGAATATAACCACTATATAATTGAATACATGTTTCGAAGGGTCCTCGCCTGTCGCCTGCTCTTAGAGCAACGAGATACCGTTTCGCGATACACAGGGACCTGCCTGGCAGACGAGTCTTTCTGTGCATTCAACGTGTGCTCGGGTTCTATTCGAAGATACTAGTAGATTGACATAGCTGGATGGAGCGCGACTTCGCCGGAAACTGATGTGCTATCTAGTACAGCGTACCAGTAGTTTTTGGCGGTGAGATGTCACTCAGGTGTAGAGTCGAGAAATAAAACCGTGAAACCTGGCCAAATGCACCAAATGAGACCATTGCAGCCATGCTCGAAGGGTCAAGCAATAGCCCCCGAGCTGTTTTGAATTCACGAAGATCCTGCCAGCCCGACCCTCGAACAAAAGAGCTCCGCCCCCACCGTAGACACCCATATTATTGCAGCATTCGAAAGCTGCGTTGTCGGGGGGCTGCGAGGAAAGTCAAAAGAGTACACGCCACTGCCAAAAGATATTCTTCTGGTGGCTAACGTGGGATGAGAAAGTCGGGAGCTCGCACCCTGATACGGGACACAATGGCGGGGCAAGCTCCCTAGCGAAGTCAGTCACACAAGTCAAAGGTGACTGTCTCTTGTTAGCCATGAAACAATCTGGTACCAGTACCGAGCTGCAGTTCCCCCTTACTGGCCACATCGTGCCAACTGCAGCGATCCCTCGAGGGATGCCACGACGACGCAACAACACGCCGCACCACCCGACTCTTGAAACAATTCAGTCCAATGCGTCCAACCAATCCAGCCATAACAGCTCAATGGTATCCCGAGGGCAGCACTAACTAGAAAAGCAAGATCAACTGTTCCGTTTGATTGATCTTGCTCCATTCCGTCGGACTTTGTTGTTGCTGTGGGTGCAGGTGTTGGCCACAGTGGCATCGTCTTCAGGGTCGTAGTCACTGTCATCATCATCATCGTCGTCGTCGTCGTCATCATCATTGTTGTCATTGTGAGCACCCCCACTTGCCCCGACCAAGTCACGGATTGCCCTAGCAGGAGCAAAATGGGTGGAACCATGGTGCGTTGCCCTGGCAACCATCCAACCAGCTCGACGTCTCCGTTCCTCTACTGTTTGCTGGCCAGCCTCATTCTGCTCATCAATCGCATCTGCCTCAAAAGTATCTTGTTCAGCCTCGGTTGCCTCGTCAACCGGACCTTCCTCAAGAGTATCTCGTTCTGCCTTGTTGTCTTCATCAACCTGTCCTTCCTCAAGAGCATAGTCATCCTTCGTCTCCTCTGCCTGCTTATTATCCTTCTTCTGTCTGGTCTCCCAAACTTTCCTGCTCCAAGCTCTGAGTTCCTCAGGCACTTTGCCAAAGCAATCGGCAGGATCCATTCCCTTGGGAACTTTTACCTGAAAATGCAATGTATTTGGAAAAAGAAAAAGATATAACAGAACAATATACAACACGAAATGTCAATGCAAATTACGGATTGCAGCCATACCTGATGGTGCATGACAAAGTAGGGGCCGAACAGTAGCTCCATTGAGGGGGAGAGGCTGAAGTTTTCTTGATCTCCAACTGCAGCAGGAATGAAGAAACTGTCTGATTCATCGAGACGGATGTGGAAGTAATAGTGGTAGCAGCCAGTGCGCTGTGACGGAAACCTGATAAAACCATATGTTTGGTCCCTCTCACGGTGGATGACTTTGGTAAAGGACTTGACAAACAGAACAGTCGTAGCATTGTATGATCCAAGCACAGGTGTGATGTCTTCCTTGAGGTTGGGATTTGCTCTGAAAGCTGCCTCTTGCAGGATCTCAAAAGGCATGGTAGAGTCCCGTATCATGTTTCCTCCAAACATTGCTCGCCACTGTTGTTTCACATATTGAGTTTCCTGGCCAAGACAATCTGCAACAAGCCTTGCCATCTCTGGGTCATTGTTGGCAAAGGGTAGAATGGAGCAGTCGTTTTCTGACATTCCATAGGCACCCTTGCAGCCATAGGAGTACATCTCACCGTGCGTTCCATGGTGTAGGCCGTTCTTTTGCTTAATCAGGTCTGGAGAACAATTTCGGGCCAACGCGATAACCTCTTTCCAACTCTTGAGATCATCAATTATGTCAATGTATTGACTATTGTCGAGATGAGTCCAACCAACCATGACAACAAAAGATTCCTTGGGTGTAGGACTGGTGCCAGTGAAGGAACCCCGTCCAAAAGGGATCACCAAAATGTCTTCATTCTGTGAATGTGCCATCCTTTCAATGTTCTCCAAATCAGTGACGATGAATCCAGTTTCCTCTTCGCGGAATCCATGACCACACGATTGGATTCTCCAACCGTATGGACCAAATTGGTCTTGTAGATTGGGGGGATAGTGCAGGATCCCATTGTACAAACAAGGAGCATGGCTCAATGCATTTCAGTTGCTCTTCACTAATAACGAGAGCTGGTATGAACTTGTTGAGTAAAGAGGGATCCAAGCGCACCTCATCACTGTATACGTCAATCATTCTGGAACGTTCATTCTTGAAGCGATTCTTGTGGGATGCCTGGTGGTTTGGATTGTCATCAAACCATTGCCTGGACAGTTCCGCCAATGCGGCCATTGCTTTGGCATCATCTGAAGCGTTCTTTGTAGGAGGGGGCTTACTAGCTGGAGGCTTTTTCGCTTGCCGCGATACCGAAGCCGTCATACCCATGTCTTTGCGGAGATGTGCTGAAGTCTTCCTGAAGCTCAGTGGCTTCACAAAGAACCTTTTGGATGCGCGGTATCCGCGTTGACGACGTTTGTTCCTGTTGGATGAATGCATCTCTTTGCTGCCAGATTCATGCGAAATAATCAAAGCAAAGTTATATCTGTTGTAGTGAAGGCGGAAGCGGACGTCGGATTAATTTTTAAATAAAGGAGGATTGCGCAGCTAGTGGGCTGAGTTGGGTTGTAGTAGTGAATGTGTAATCGAAACGGAGGGGCCGGACTTTGTGAACACTTCATTCCGATGGATGCAGGGCAATCCAACACTTTGTCCAAACCCCGCTCTGTCCTCGTCCAAGGATTGGTTGACGATTGGCTTTCTTACCGGCTTTGCCGAAATGATAAGGAAATATCCATGACTGAGAAACCCCCTTCAACTGCTACCGTAACGTGTTCTTACTCTAGAAGCATTCTACTACTAGGAAGAAGCAGCTTGCCAGGAATCTTCACAAGTCAACTGAATGCTTCCATTGGGTTGAGACTGGAAGGGAATCAGTTCACGGGAAACCTACCGGATGACCTGTGAGGAGTGTTCTCAGTTGTGATCTGCCAATGTGACCACTGTGTCCAGCTGCGCGGGCCTGAATGTAATTTATCCTGGAAGGTTCCCAGCCAAGAGTGCCGTGGGACATGGTGAGGTGATCATGCTCAATTTACAAACTGATCTGGTCCCAGAAGATATAGATTGGGTCTGGCTGCAACAGAACGAGACTGGTGTGTGGGAAAAGCTTGAAGGATCAAGTGACTGTCTTGAATTGGATTTTCTCTTCATGTCTACCCACACATCTTGACCGTCACCCCAGAGATACGCTTCCATGTAGTGATCTCTGATGGCTACGGTGATGGCTTTGGGAGAGGGGATGGATGGATCACTTTGACTGTGGCCAGTCAAACGGTGCTGTACTAGTACCCTTTGGGAGGAGAGGAAGAGTTTTCACAACTCTGTGGTTCACTCTTTCATCTCGGCCAGGTTGAGCATAGCTCTTGCCCGTGCCACGACAATGTGTTTGAGAGGCTCCCGTGTCTCAGCTCTCAAGGTTTCCAAGCCTTGGGATGACTGTGGTGCCCTCAATCTCTTCCGCTAGTCTTGCTCCTTTGCTCCTCCCTGCCCTCCTGCCTTCACCCCTTTCCTTGGTTTCCATGTTGCCCTGCTTGCGCACTTGATTGCCTGCCTTGCGTTCCTGCGTCGTGCCCTCCCCTTGACCTCTGTCTCCCTCCTCATCTTAGCTCTCTCTAATCCATAGTAAACCCGATTTACTCTTCCTTGATGTTGAAGCTGGTATGGATGGAACAATAATTGAAGGCGTACCTAACGTGTTCGCCTGTTCTAAGGGGACATGGGATGATTGTTCCAAGACGTGCCACCGGTATTCTTGAGAGCAGACAGTTTGTGCGATCATCTGCTCCTTGTCAGCCTTCACTCTTTTTCATGTCAACCAATCTGTTGACCGACGTTTCCAGCCAAGGTTTGGCCATTCTTCCTAAACACAAAAACAACATAAAAACAACATATAACAACAAAAGACGAGCCAGTGGCCACCAAATAACCAGAAACACTACATATTTACCCGTCTGCGCCTTACAAGCAAGCATCTACATCTTCTATATACCTTCAAGAACCAAGGTGGAGAAGTAAGGAGTGTCCGCAAGAGCGCAAGAGCGCAAGAGCTGCTGCTTTCCATCAAATCTAAAACCTTTCGGGGACGCAATCTTTGTAATTGATGAGATATTCTAAGCATCTTCGTATACATTTAGTATTACATGTCATCGTCATCGTCTCTTGTCACCCACGCAAAGGTGTTTTCGATGTGGCTTGACTTTGAATACTTGCTTGTACTGAGGGCATCGTCGGCTCGAGCCAACCAAAGGTGCCAAGAACTCGTGCGTCGACCCGGAACCAATCCTGGCACCTGCGTTTTTCCTCGGCGGAGCTACCAGAGGCCTCTTCGTCTTGAATCATTGAAGGTCTGGCTACAGTGTTTTGTGTAGAGATTGGCCATGGTCACGTCCAGTAAAGTGAGCTTGTGCAGCCCAAACTGAGACGAGCTGCCCCTGTGATAGTTAGCCACAGTGCCCGTTGCCCGTTGTGTCGTCGACGTGATTGCTTCGATTGAATCGAATCGAATTGAATCATTCGTTTGGATTCGATTCGATTCCATTTCGAAATTTCTCAAAACCAATGACGGTCGCCGGCACCTCCACCGCCCTGGGTCGACGGTGGCAAGACAGAAGGCAGACAAGGGCAGCAAACGGAGGTCAGCAGTAAACCATACCCCAAGTTGGTACTAAGTTCTTCTAAGTAATTTCACTGGGACTCTTGACAGTTACATTAATTAGACAAACCGTAAATCATCTAAACTTGGTACCGTGGTACCTTACCAAGTTTAGTCATCGCAAAGGGTACTCAGTGATTTATTGCCCAAAATGGTTGCATATGAGTGGTTCCCCACAGAGGTACCAAGCTATTGAGCTCCAACTTGGTACCTTTTTTGCTCTTTTTAATAGTTATTTTATTCGTACCAAGCATTCTTGGTCCATGGACCAAGTTTTACTTTTTCATTCCCAAGCCATCTTGTAACCTTTACCAAGTTGGCTAGTTAGATACTATCATAGCCTAAATACTTCTTGGGCCATCACTTGTCCTTATATGACTCACATGTTTAGTCTTGGTACCTGAGAGTTCCACTAAGTATGTAATTGGACCCTTATGTAATTTTTCCTTTGAACTTGGACCTCCCCTAGGGCCAAGTTTGCCAAAAGTCTTGGCACCTCCCCTTGGTCCCCTTTGTACCACCAATTTAACTGTTTTATCTGTGTCTTGGTACCCGGACCAAGCAGAGCACCAAATGACCAAGTGGAAACTTCTTAAACCTTTTTGCCTTTTCTCTAATTCCAGAGTTATGTACCCACTGTACTTCCAAGAGTTTTAAATTACCTGATTCCCACCAGCGTCTTGTGACATTCTTAAGTAAACTTGGTTTCATCTTGGCACCTAGTTTGAACTTGGTACCATTATCTTCTTTTTCATGTTGCCAATCCCACGGGAACAAAATTTCATGTTGCCAAACATTTGGCAACATAACCTAATCCAAAGCCGTCAGTGCGTGCATTCCAAGAACAACACATAACTACATGCACAACAAACAACAGCAGCGCGGACATCTCAACAAGCTTTAGCCACAACAGTAGAAAACAACAATCAATAACCAATCAACAGGAAGCTGGCAGTCACATTGATTCTCTCTTACAAGTACTAATCAGGCAGCTTCCCTGTTCATTCTGACTACTGTGTTCTCTGTGTTCCTACTGGCTGTTATAGCTGTCAAGAACAATGGAGGTCAATGACACCAACATCAGTCAAGAAGGAAGTGATGATGATTCTCCGACAATGGAACCCATCTACAAGTCAGACAAATCACTACCGTCACCTCTAGAGTTTTCTTTTGACAAGCTTCCAACAAAGCAGAATCCACCTTCCATAGCTGGTACGATCGACTATGCTAGTTTCACTCTTCCCTACCCACGTGGACACGGAGTTGACTTCGCAGTAGAATGCAATCCCATGACATTTGCCAGATCATTCTTTGATGGCAAGAAAATTGTAGCAGATGATTCCATTGGCACAAGGATGAAAGTTGAACATGTCAAGGTCAAAAAGACTCTTGAAGCTGCGTGCAAGGCTGTATCAGAAATCACCAAGTGCAATGTTTCATTTAAGACAGGATTTGGGAAAGTGATTATATGGGGTGGAAGGATTCTGCCACAAACGCCCTGGATTCAATTTAGGACTTCATTTTTATTGTAGGGCTCACCATTATTGTGCAGTGTCACGAAAGAGCCACGTATATGTCTACTACACATTACACAGCGTTCAGAAATATATGTCAATCCATGTTACTTCCACAGCGTCCCATTTTCGAAGGATCTCAGTAAACTTTGCACAACACCAGCATTCGTCAAGATTGATACCTACCTGCCCCGGATTTTTTGACCGTTAATTACATCTGTGGCAGATGCCCTCTTCTTGCCAGGTCTAAAATACCTCAATGGCGTCATTAGTCAGTTCCCGCGACCTATCAGTGCAAGCACATCTAGGCCCACGGTGATTACAACGGGTATACCAATATCATAAAAACCATCTGAACATTTACTATAACCGCATCAGCCATGAAGTCCTTCTCAACCATCCTTCAGATGCCCTCTGAGTGTGCGTGTATTTGGCGCAAATGGCCCTAATGAGCTGGAAGTGATTGGGGATGGGCGACGTGGCCTTTGCCGGAGTTCCCGGACATTTTGCGCAATTGCATACAAATAGTGAGCACAAGCCGCAAAGGGCATCACAGAATTTTACACAATGGCGCTGAAATTGCAAGCAAGACGCCAAAGATCCCCTGCACAAGCCGACACAACCATACCTACATTATCCGTCATTACTTTGCCCAAGTGAACCTGACTACGAAAACAATGACAAAGCAGTATACAACTAGATAATCGTTAACTTA